TTAATCACTTATGCTTGAATTTTTGTTATATAAAGATACACATTTTTTACAATTATTCTTTATTGATAGTAACAAACACGGAAGGCTCTTTAGTAAGAAAGGTAGCTTTTTTACCATTTTTGTAATACATTTATGCAAATGTTTTTAGATTTTTGTCAAAACTATTTTTTTTTTACATTTGTTTTGCTAAGTTATGTAAGTTCTATTATACTAATTTAATATTCACCAAAGAAAAACATGGTTACTTTTTTTTTAAAACGAAAACATCTATATAGTAGGCTTATAAGTTGGGCAAAATTTATAAAACAACAAGTAATAAGTAGTTTTTAATATTATCGCGTGAATTGCAGCGCCAGAGCGAAGTGAAATTTCTATTTTTTTTTACCGAAATGTTTTTTTTTTTAAATGACGATTTGGATAATAGATTGACCTTTACAAAACAATATGTTCAATTAGATATTATAATAAAGCATTGGTTAGGCCAGGTTCACATCTAACTTCACATTCACTTTCACCTATCCTTTGGTTTGCTGGACCGTTGGGGCACCACACACGATCTGTCATTCTACTTGGTCTACTTAGTCATTTGTCTTTGATAGAATTTTATTCTGATGTTCTTTCTGAAAATATTGAAACCTGCCTTTTTACCTGCCTGGGTGGACCAATTTGGGGGCCGATTTTGAGTTTGTGTTTTCAGACATACTGTCTTTGTAAACATGTTAAAACTGCTTTTGTAAAAGAGTTCAAGAAATGCACATCTTTGATTTGGCTATTCTGCTGGAGTCGTGTTTCGAACCCAAATTTCAAGCATTGGTTTATTCTTCTAAAAAAATATCTCTTTAGGAGGGGGATGGGGTGGTGGCTGAGTGTATAAGTGCATGACTTCTGAACCTAGGGTCCTTGGTTTGAATCTTGTTAAATACTGAGATTTTGAATTTCGAGATATTTAGGGCGCCGCTGAGTCCACCCAACTCTCATGGGTAACTGACTTTAGTTGAGAAAAGTAAATGCGGTTGTTCATTTTCCTGGCCACATGACTATCTGCTAGTTGATCGTTGGCCATAGAAACATATGAGCTTAACATCATCAGCTTCATAGAGCATAATGTCTGTTAGAGGCACTTAGTTTTACTTATTGCAAAATCAATCATGAAATTGCGACAAAAAAAACAAAGGGTAAAGGGGAGAAAGGAGGAAATGGAGTGGAAGGGAATTGTGGGTGGCGTGGACTTTTAAAGGATCGGTGTTTTTATGCTAGACTTTGTTGACAAAACCTATCATGTCTATTCACAGATTATGAAAGAATAAAAAAATTAAAAATTCGCTTATCCTAAAATCTGCTTATTAAAAGTTTTTATGTCTGCAGCTTATGCTGTGGTCATAAAGCAGCCTAATACTAAATCCCTGTATCTTTATTATGTGATCCCTGAAAATTAATATTAGCGATGTACAGCTTTAAGATGCACTGGGTTCAGATATAAATCTGATCGACTTGCAGCCGTGGCCTACAGAACTCCAACTCTCTAAGAGAAGGTAAGTCTGCAAACTACATGTAACATCTACATCCATACGTTATTATTATTATGTTAGAAATGAACGAGTATTTATTCTCTAGCACTCCCAGGGTCAAAACAAAATTTATTGTAGTCCCTTTATCAGCGTTAACTGAGAAATTTTCTGGTAATGTGGCAGGTCTGCAGCAGTACCGCCCTCTGATAGGCAACGAGAATCTTCTTAGGAATGTTAAGTGCCTTGAAAGTATCTGTGCGATCAGATGTCATATCTCCTCAGATGATATAAAAGTGAATATTGTTATTTTGAGGTCCCGTTTTCTTACATCCATGTAATGAATGTGGGGCGACCAGTTTTTTTGTAAATTAGTTGCGAGTTGCTGTAGAGAATGACTTTCGGGATGCGATTCTCCTCCATCCTAAAAACATACCTATGTTCCCATATTTTATTTGCTTTTTTATTTCACTTTTTCTTACAATTTGACAGTGGTACATCTATGTCAATAATGGTAGCGTTTTTTTTTCTTTTTTTATAAAAAAACGACATATCTGGGCGATAAAGTAAAAAAAGGCAAATAGGAGTATAATGAAAGATCAGTAGACTCGAAATCCTAATGTAGCGTGTATGTGTAATAAGAATGAGTATCCTTATATACCAAATGATGTGTCAAAAGCCAGTTGTTGGTGTATTAATTTATGGCGACCTAGGAAGGTAATGTCTGATAAAGCTGAACATTCTCATACTATATATTGAATTCACTCGTCCGCATTTCATCACTTATATTAACATTGAGTTTTAGGATATGCTTTCGTATTTTTCGTCCTAATTACTGTGTCCTGTAATGATAGTTTCTGTTTCAGCAAAGAGATGTCCTGCTCTGAGCAATGTTAAGGCCGCAGCCTTGTCAATACTGTCGTAACGTTATAATTATATTTTTTTAATAGTTTTTATCTATTGCCTTCTTCAGTCTTGAAGATGAGATGAAAGCCTGGGCATTAGCTATGGTCGGAACAATGTCACCTACACATCAGTTCCCCCCACTCCACGCAGCTGATGTATCCAATGGAACAGCAGTGCCGATACAGTTTGGGGTCAACGGCGTCGCAGGTTCTGCCAGGGTGTAGCACCGGGTGTTGCAGACTGCCTTAGGGAAGCCAGCTCCCGATTTTTTTCTCAGAGTTGACTCCAGAAGCCTTTCCTATGATTGGGTGTAGCTACAAGGCTACAAAGGTTTGAATTCAGAGTCCTCCTCCTAGGTGGGAAGCCAGCCCCTACTGCTCGAAGCTTACTGGTTAAGGCGCCAGTTACTCGCCTTTGCCCCTTCTTCTGTTAGTGAGAACAGTTACGCCTGACTCAATATCTGAGCCACACTTGAAGGCCCGGAAATGGACTGGTTGTCAGAGGCTATTTGAGACGCATACCATTTGGAAGCATTTTATAGGTAGTGGAGTTCTTACATCCATTACCACTGCCAGCAATGACAACCTTGCGGAACTTTTCATGCTTTCAAAACGCTTTGGTCCAATCTCATTTGTGGACCAATGGCGGAGGGGGTATCTTGGAGATTGTTTTCCGTGCTGCTTTTAAGCGCTCAGTAAACACAACGAGGCTCGAGTCAGGTGTTCAACCTCGACCCTCTTCAATGGTAGCCAAGCAAAGGCAAGCCTCTTGATCACGCTTCCTACTAAACTAATAGAGATGGGAATTTTCGTAAAATGTTTTTTTGATCATCTTATGCACTGTGTCGTCTAAACTGAAAACTGATTCAAAGTTGTTTTAAAAAAATAATTTTAATACGAACTTTGTTGTAGTTGAAAGTTAAAAAAAAAACGCACTATTTTTTATAGCGTGCAGTTTTGACGTATCCTCATTATACACTTGCTAACAATAACAATCTTAATTAGACTCAATAGAGGCCAGATGTATATCTAGATTTAGATTTAAATGTATTAAACAATATTGTTATAACCCTATTGGTAGCTCGATAGGGTTAACTGTAGGTTCAGCTGGCACATGAGAACTCAGGAAAATCACACAGGTTAACGGCTGCCGTTGGACAAGGGACAGTACTGCGATTACATGCAAATATGACCAATGTTATGGTCATGTGATCGAAAGCCTGCGTGCACTAGAGACACAGTGTGTAAGAAAGAGGCAGTTCAACACTGGACAGCGAGTAGACCTGGACTGTTAGTTGGCCAGGAAGTCGGTCCTAGTTGAGTCCTCAAGTGTTGCGTACGAGTCCAGGAAGAGATAGAGACAGTAAAGTTTTGTACGGTGATGTACAGTGTAACATTTTAGTTGTTGATGTGTTGCCAATAGTTTAGTATTGGCTGTTATCTACTTATTCGCTCATTATTAAAGTATCATATTAACCAGAGCTCTTGCTTTAGGTTCTTGATGTGTTGTGTGTTTAGCCATGTTTACAGAACGCCTTAATAGGAGAGAGAGATCGTAACACTGGTGTTAGAAGAGGGATTACCAAGTCTTTAAATACTCTAATTTTCCCCTTTTCTTGTTACGTCCAAACTATTTTTGAGATTATGGAAAAACCGTCAACGTTTTAAATCTATTTGTCATTACTCGTCAACAACATATAATCATGACCTGGTGCTGCAGAAGTATAATCTAAAATTTATACATAAACTGAGTGCAATAGCTCCAGGTAATGTCTGGAATCTAAAACACCAAAAAAAAAAAAAAGACCTGTTAATCCTTGTTATACTGGTATAGCTTAAGTAAGACCAATTAACAAAGTAGGCCTCACCACAGGTCAGAACGTCAAACCTTAACATTGGTAATGAGCTATGGGTCTCTACTGGCCACAGGTTGCTAAGTTGAAGGTCAGTGTTCAGGACTACTATGACAATTGGTCTCGCCTTAAATCTCAAGCTCAATCTGAATTGCAAGTACTAGAGATATTTTACATTAAAAATAACACTAACAATTTGACCAATGTTTATAAAATTTCACCACAAACTGTTATATTAACTTCTCTCTTCCTCGTTAAGAATTGACAGCAGCAGTAAGAACAGCCTTGATTCAAGATGAGACTTTTCTTCATTATCGCCCTGTTCGTTGTCTTCGTCGTCGAGACAGCTAAGACCAATCAACTCGCAAGGTATGTGGCATGCACGCTCCGGAATCATCTTACCTTCACATGTGCTGAATGGATAAAAGATGTAGTACCACAAAGAAGACGTACTCAGCATCATTGGTGCAGACTTGTGTATAGATCTGAGGATGATTTTTATGAGAATGGCTGCACAGAGAATGACTACGCACTCGCGCGTAGTATCGTTTGCGGTCGAATACCCAGACCACCAAGCTGTTTACCTCTTTGGTGATTACGAGAAGCAAAAGTTAATGGTTGAACTTTTAATAAGTATACTACAGAGTTTAAAAATAAACACAAATTTATTCTAATAGTTTTAATCATCTAAAAAGGGGAGGGACAGGTTTTTTTTAACTAAATGTTCAGAAATCGATATACTTCAATAAAACAAAAATATAATGTTTGATTTTATTTATTTATTTCAAATAGTTTGGATATACTATTATACATATACTCAAAATTTATTTTACTTATAGTTATTCTTTTTATTGTTTAAAAAAAGAATATTAATTGTTACCTTTCAAAATTATATTTTAAAATTCTCACTTAAAAAACAAAACAAAAAAAACCTTTGTCAGATTTATATGTACAATAATATGCAAATAAATTTTGAGTACTGAAATAAATCAGACTCACAAGAATCTGTATACTTTATATGCTCTACCATTAAAACATTTTAACGATCTAGTATTGGTTTTCTTCCGAACATCCATTTATTTTTTTATTCTTTATATATATATATATATATATATATATATATATATATATATATATATATATAGCGGAAGTCTAAGTCTAACTATTGGCTGATAGCTTATAATAAATACATCGTTTATTATTGCCTCCAATCTGTTCGTTGGATTGCCTGCCTTAGAGTTACAACAATACAATGCCAAATTCGAGAAAAGACTAATTGTGGCTCAACGGAATTGGCTGAGATTTTAGGAGTCAGTTATAGAGATCGGGTCTCAATGAAGGAAATCCTATGTCGAACTGGGAGCCGACCCCTTATTGAGGTTGTGACAGAGCGTCGCATGATGTTTGTTGGACATGTTCTACGACCAAATGAATAACGCATACCAATAATTGCGAGGAAATACAAGAAATAACTTGGCGCCTCACTTTCATAGACGACCGCAGAGCAGTGGACACCAGGTTGAAAGGAATTAGACATTGCCAGTGACAGATCTTGTAGAAACAACTTGCCAACCAATGCGCCAAAAAAACTGTAAGATTGTGCCACATCACCAGCTAAGAAGAAAGCTGTTTTTGTACAACAATGCTTAGAGTTTATCGGAGAATATAAGGCCCAATAGACCTTTAAAAGCTATTTCCAGGGGTATATGTAAACTTCCAGAGGTATTTTTGAAATAGCTACGGTATTCGTCCACTTTCTGGGGTATTTGTTCCCTTTCTGGGGTATTTTTCCATGGAAATCTCTTTGTGTTCGTGTCGCATCCAATTTTTTTTTTGTTGTAGGCTTTAGCGACCAGTAGACCCTGCATGAAGGCTACATATTCTTCCTGCAGTTGAAAACGTTATTTGTTGAAGAGGCATTGCTGAAACACCGAGTGTCTCCTCTTACAAACTGAAACGTGCCACCTCTTCAAAGCGTTCCAGGAAGACTTCGATGAATTTAATTTTGTTACCAAAGTTCCCCATGGGCGTATAGGGTAGACAGTTCGACAGACCTTGACTTGAGACAGGCGAGATTTGTAATCTAACTAAGCGGTCTAGACATCTTTCTCCCTTTGCTATCCTTTCCAAGTCAATTATTTTTCAGTCTCACACGCTATTATTTTCCTTTCCTTCTATGATTCTATCTATATATTGTTCATTTATCCCATTCATCTGTACATTTTTCTTTGCGTTTAGCCCTCTCTGCACATTCTCGTTATTTGTCAGCTGGAAGGTCCTTGATATCTATTTTTAGTTTTCATTTAGCAGTGAAGAGAGTGTGGCTGGAAATAGAGAAAGGGGATGAGGAAGAGACATAGAATGTATCATATAATGAAATATATCAGATACCAAGTTGTTGCTTTAAAACGAGAAGTGTTAGGGAAATTGTACACTGAATAGGGGAAAGGTGTTCTGCTCAGCTTACGAGTGAATAACTCCGGATTGGTTAATTAGCCCTCAACGGAAAAGTTAGGATAGCGGGCGGGGGGGGGGGGGGGGGGTGTATGTGAAGACAGGAAAGGTGAAGGAGATAGATGGGAGACAGTAGGAAGTTTCAACGAGAACGGAACGATGTCTGTTTGAACAGGTGAAACTGGCTAGAGGCAAGAAACGACACTCGGCTCAGAAGAAATCTTTGACCACGCAGGCCCTTAGAGATGTGAAAACCTGACTAGTATGCTAGATCACTACAAGTCTCCTGTGGTCTGCGGGACGTCCCGTTGTTCCTTATCGGCTTATCAGTTAAGTTTCGTTGTATGTCTTCATTAATTTTGAGAGTAAGGTCACTTTTAGGCAAGGCATTTAAGTTGAATGTGACATGGAGAATGGGATGTTGAAAAAATTACTTGTTCAAGAAAATTTAAGCGGCCGAGTGGCTCTAATAGTCAGGCGATTTAAGTTCAAAACCAAACTCAAGCAAAACTTTTTTTTTATTATTATCTACATTTGTAAAGAATTCACGAAATGCGCATTTTTCATTCTTATACCTTGCCCAGTGCTCTAAGGTTAAACGTCTTTTGTTGATCAGTTGGGGGAACTGGTATATGACAAAAGATTTTCCAGCTCAAACTCAACTCTGTTGGAGTCGTGATTCGAACCCGAGCTTGGAGCATTGATTTATTCCTCTCAACAAATAGGAGAAGAGGGCGTGGCTGGATTCGTAACCTGAGGTCGTGGGTTCAAATCTCGGTCAAGACTGGGATTTTCAGTTTCGGGATTCCTAGCCCCCCCCCCCCCCTTTGAGTACACCCAACTCTAACGGTTATCTGACTTTAGTTGGGGAAAGTAAAGGTGGTTGATAGCAGTGCTGGCCACATGCCACCCTGCTCGTTAAGCCTTTGGCCAAGAAACAGAACACCTTATCATCTGCCCTATTGATAGGAAGATCTGTAAGGGCTTCTCACTTGCTTACCAATCATTAAACGACGACATATAAAGCTCAGGTAGAGAAGAGAACGTATATTTATGACATACCGCTTTTAGTATTCATGTTTTTACTGCAGGGCTTAGTATAATATAAGACAAACGAGATAAACATAATGTACAGCTTTTATCAGTTTAAATTTTAATTTTGCTTATCCTAAAATCTGTTCGTTCAAAGTTGACATGTCGGCCAATTATCTAGTCAATTTAATACCAAACATTTGTTCTCTAAGTACATAGCTTATAGTAACTCAATAGTACGTATGTCTGGTAGAACGTTGGTTATTGTCTCCCATTACCGATTAAGTTCAAACTTTCTATATTTATTCGTAGTTGATGAAAACATACTATGACAATTAATTAATTAGTGGTAATGAATTATATTTATTTTATTTAGAAAAAGGAACTACGACCATAATCTCTAGATACAAAAACAAAACGTGATAAAAAATACTCTGAAAGACACAAAGATAATGTTCCATATGCTAGGACAAATTTGTGCAAATGCTCCTTCTTCCCTAGTGCTATTAGAGCATGGAATGGGTTGCCTGAATCAGCCAGGAAAAACCTTGGACTTGGGAAAGTTTAAGTCATTGATTGACATTCATAAACAAATTAGCCTAGGAACACGCGAGGACGTAATCATCTTCTTTTTTTTAAAGTAATGTCTGTCTTTTATAAGATAAGATAATGGAAATGATGCTTTTTGACTCAACAGCAAGATAGCTAACTTTACAGGACCTATTGTAACCTATTTGCCAGCGGGTAATGACACAAATATATCTATTACAAAGCTTATATCAACTCACTGTGTCTTCTCTCTATCTGGTAAAGTGTGTGTACAGGTAATTTCTATCACACCCAATTTCGGATCAAGTTCAAACTTCGCACAACGATTCAATGGCGTAGCAACACATGAATTAAAAAAAAAATATTGGTAATTAATTATTCTTGTCAGAGCCTGAGATACTGTTGACCCCAAACTGTCTCGGCACTTGCAGTTCATTTGGATAGATCAACTGTATAGAGAGGGGTCACTGCTGTGTGAGATACAGGCATTCATCTTATTATCATGAGATGATCCATGGTCGTCTCGCGACTGGAGACCATACAGTAAAAGAATTAGATTGAAGAGAGTCATTGACTCTCAGAGATGGAGATTTAAAGAGTCTGATATTCAGATCGTCTTATTAGAGAATGTCACGAAAAAATGATACAATTTCAATGACACTAAATCGAACGTCACTGTTGCCAGATTAATACAAATAAAAGAATTTAGCTAAAGTCTTAACAACATCTGAGAATCAAAGAGTTTAATCCTGAGTTTTAGAATGTTCGAGAAAAAAACAGTTTAATTGTGAGATCGATAGAGTCAGAGAATCTTAGGCTTTAATTCTGAGATTTGTAGATTCTGAGAAAGAATTCTATTCTGAGATTCAGAGTCAGAGAGTCTATTAAGATGTAATTGGAAGATACCATCTTAGCTTTCATCTTAAAATCAGCCCCGTGATCCCAGGGAATGAGTTTAACTGACATGTATAAGTCAAACAAGAGGGATAGAAAGATACAGCATTCAACAATGTCTCGTAGTGTGTGTGTGTATGTGTGTTTGTTGACGTCATCTTTAATTTTACTAAATAAATTCTATAGAGAAATAAAAAAAAATACTTTACAACTAAAGAATCGAAACGTGACCTTTGATCTTTGAAAAGATTTAGAGGCATGGAATAAATTCGTTGTGTTAGATTTTAAAATAACAATGTCAAGGTTTTTTCCTCTTTTTTTCTCATCCACATTAACTCATTTACTCCTGAATTTATGTGCAAACATTCAGCATTTGTATAGTAAAAATATCCATTCAACGGCTGCGTTAGCAGTAAAGGGTTAACATGTCCAACAAACAGTTTTTTTTTTGTAAAGCTAATTACTTGCTCTACATACAGGCCTACACTAATAGACACACATACACAAATAAATAATCTAATTCTCATTATCTCTGTCTCTCCAGCGTAACTAATAACACACACACACACACGTCTAGTCACACACACAAACACACAAATAAGAGTAACATATAACGAGGTCTGCAGCAGAGATGAAACTTGCAGATCCTTATCGCAAATTCTACACTAGATCGACCAGTTCTAGGCTCGAGACGGTAAGTGTTTGTTTCATTTAAAACTACGATTTCAGTCAATTATTAAGTAGGCCCTAACCACAGACACAGAGCTGGCCTTGGGTAATGGAAACCTCTAGGCGCAAATGAATGTGTTGGTCCCTAATGAAATAGAAAATCTGCAAAACCAAAATACAAAACTAAGGCTGAAAAAGAGATCGCCATTTATTAAAAACTTACCTGTATGATCTAGAGCTTAAAGCTAGTAGACATAGAGCTTAGAGCTAGTAGACATAGAGCTCTGCTATGTTTGAGATTTGAAAGAGACTTACAGCTAGACTAATGGACATAGAACTCTGCTAGTTTCAAGTTTCGCAATTTTTTCTCTTAATATTTTTTTTTTTGTTCTCTGCGAGGCTTTCATCAATTGGAGGTCCTTGGCGGCTGTCTATTTGTCTATGTCTAAGGC